CACTCTTGATTGAGTGTAAGGTTCTGCCAGTCGATAAAGCACCTTTCGTTCAACTTGTACAATATGAGCGTTTGACTTAACTGACTTACAATTAATGTTTAACAAAAAAATTGAATTTTCAACAAAATTGAAAAATTAAAGAATTGATTTCTTTTGTTCAGTATCGAATAGAATAAGTCTTTCGAATTATGCAAGAGAATCTCTACGCTTTGTTTTCTGAGGTAAGATTTGTGACTTGAATCTATACACGGGAGACGTTTGTTTGAGCATATATATAGCTATTATTTATTCTACACTTTAAATCCTGACTGTATTAAAAACCAGTTGTATTTTTACTTAAACTTCCGGCATACAACAATTCCTTTATCTTTCATCAAGAATTACAAAATATTCTAAAACTTTTCAGAAATGTAAAACAACATTACTTTGAGATTTTTTTAAAATTCAGGCATTCATTCTGTGATATTCAGAAAATTGTAAAACGAGCTCTATCAGGAGGATTTCTACTTGATATCTAAAATCTCATCTCCATTCATCACTATTACAGAACTTTTTAGTCTAACATCATTATTGATTGCATTATCTATACTTTGCATCTAACTCTTGAGTGAACGGGAGGGAGGGGAATCATTTTTTGTAACGTTAAAAATAGAGTAAATACAAATGTAGATGAAACTGTTACACATGTCATTCTGTCGATTTTATTGATCATTAAATCCTTCTGTCTCCAACTACAACCAACTCTTTTTTTTACATGGACTTTTTTTATAGGATTTTGAAATAACGCGGTACACGAATTTAAATATCCCCCCAATGTTTTGTTCTAACACGAATCTCACAAAAGCTAGCTAGCTAGGCCGTGGTAGCCGAGTGGTATAGGTATCGGATCGTGGCTTGCCTTGTCAAGAGTTCGAGTTGTCACTAAAGACCCGCCGTGTAGGGCAGCGATGCACGTTAAATCTGTCGAGAGCTAAAACGTCCTCCCGTTGGTGTGGTGTGGTAGTTAGGAGAGGGGTGCCAGCTCAGGTGTCGTTCACGTCACTTGACCATGGTTCAAAATTACGTGGTCCGTCGCCAAAAGCCCTCGTGTAGCTGAACAATGCGACGTTAATATTCAATCAATCAATCAATCTCACAAAAGCTAGAGGATTCTTAAAAGCTAGCCCTTAGGAGGAGAACGATTTATTCGAATTATAGCAGTCCATGATAATAAAGAAGTTGATGGAGTCAAAGGTGAAGTTTAGTTATTAAACAGTTGGCAAACACGCACGGTTGTTATCCAGCATCCAGGAATAGTTGTTAGTTAGTAGTTTTGTTCCTAGTTTCAGTTCGAATTTGTATGTGTTGTATGTACTTATAGACTGAATTTTCACTGTAATCTAGTTTTAATTTTCTTTGTAATATAAATAATTGTTTTTATAAATATCTAACGCGGATTTTATTATTAATTTTTTTCACAGGTTTTCGGGAAGATATTTATAGATTTTTAATCTTATTTTTGAAATTGTGGAACATCCCCAAATTTACCATATGTCGCATGTATTTTTTGCATGGTTTTCTAAGGAACTTATCTACCGTTTAAAAAAAAGTGTTAGGTGAACTGAAACTATTCTTCAGCTTCGTTCAGTGTCCAATGTTGCAAAAACAAATACACATTTCTAAATTTCCAGACAAACATATCCTTTCTGAAAATGTTACACTATTAATTACGTCATTTCACTTCAAACACCGACCTTCACAAAACATTCCTTTCGAGATCACGGTGATTACTGTTCTCACTGCAACCGAATTCCCCATAATTACAGCTTTCTTACTGCAGTGATCCGGAGACGGTTACAAGTGTGTTAGACAAACGAAAGTGCAAACCAGTCGGTTAAATGAAGCGGGACAGACAGGAGAAAGGATCCTGAAAACCGGACAACCCACTATTTTCTCAGCGATCGATTGCATCTTTTGTACTTTGTCTGAGATTTCTTGATCCGTGAATACTTGTGATTTGTTTCTGGAGATTTGTGAAGCAGTCGAAAAAAAGTTAAATGCAACGAAGTATTGTTCTAACTTTGTTTTATATCATCCGATTCACATGAATGGATGGGAATATTTGCTATCAGAATTTAGCTTAATTGTTTCAAGAGACCAAAATTTGTTCTGATTAAGAATATGAAGACTGAAAATCAAATACATTTATTGGATTGAATTTGAATTAAGTTGATTCACCCATGTGATGGTTTTTAAGCATTTTTAGGACTTTTTTTTTTTTTTTTTGATGACCAGTAAAATGATAGAACTTAACGTTTTTTATCATTTATTTATATGTATCTTAAGAGTATGAATATAACTTTTTAACCAAAAATATTCAATAGAACTTGAATTACAGCGCTCTGAACACACCCACCTCCAAAAAATGGATGATCACTTCCTCCACGATTCCGGATTGGCTTACATCTGAAATAAAATTTTAAAAAAATAACGGCATTTGAATTTATAAGCTTAAATGCACAAAATGAAGTATATTCAGTTGGAAATATTAAAAATTGGATTTTTGGTAGACCTCTGAAAAAAGCTTCGAATTTCATGGGGGTTTATTGTAATGTTTTTGTAACAAAAAATAGAAATATTTTGAATTTTGGAATGATCGTAGTTCATTTGATGAGTATATTTGCGATGAGTCTACCCTATAAATCTAAAGTCATTCGGTCAAACTGTTCTTGAGATATGACTGAGAAAATATTGAAAAACACAGTTTTGAGAAAAACGCGTTTAAAGTTTCTAGTCCGATTAAAACGGCGAAAATCTTAACTTAGCGCACCGAACAGCTGCTCTTCTAGCACCTGCTTCTGTATAACGATTTTGAATTTTTATAAAAAATCACTTTACCACCATTTTCTAAACATGTCAATAAAGCAATTTATGGAAAAAAAAATTTTGTTTTTTTTTTTTTTGAACCCATCGCATTTTAAACTGCCTTAATGTTGCTCTACAAGAACAAAACTAAATGCGAAACGGTTCGTGAAGTCACCTGTATCTATCTAGAATTAAAATCCGTACTTTGGTATGACATTGAAGTTTGGAGGGTAAAAAGCCATCTCTCTCGTCAGTTGGCAATGAATCAAAATTACGAAATCTGTCTTTAATAGCTCTTACGTAGCTTCGAAGTTAATAAAGCACCATTCAATCAATTCAAAAGATTTTGTTGTCTAAGTCGTATTTGTATGTACATCAGAATTACCTTAGAATATATATATAAATCGGAATACTATATATATATATATATAATGCTGTATATATGTACACAGATTTGGAATTTTTAAAAATTGTCTGCATTTCTAGTTTAATTTAAATTTGTAGTCATTCCACATAATTTTATACCTTATTAAATACCGCTGTTGAAAGATGAGAAATACAGTACACATTACATAATTACACTCCTAAATTTTGCTTTCTCTAGAATCTGAACAGAATTTTACTGAATGGTTTTACCATTTTTTGAACACTGATTTTGAAATATCTGCTGTAAGCTATATTTAAGTATATTAACAAATAAACTAGATGTTGACTGCCATTTATAATGAATTACTGCCAACCAAACTTTTATGGCAAATATGATTCAAAAGTAGTAATAAGAGATGATTATAGTGTACTAGGTATTACAGAACCCCTTTTTCCTTATACAATATTTTGTACACTCTTGTGCGTGGCTCTGAAAAGAAAATTATCTTCCAATACTGAAAAATGCATAGGTGCGTGATGTATAAAAATGAAACTAAATATTAGAAATAAGTGACTAACGAATGATTGTGGGGTCATTTCCCTAAAACTTATTTCCTACCTCACTGGAACATGCTGATGACATGTATGTGGGAATCCCACCGAAATATTCCAAAAAAGTTAGATTCTTCAGATAGTGGGGTTTTTATTGGCGGGGTGTCTAGGGTTTTTTTTTCTTTTACGATGCATTAGTTAACTTTGAAAAGAAAGTGCGTGTGTGTACTTATGTACGCACGTAAGAAGTTATACTTTGGCGTAACAAGATTAAAATATTTCTCTAAAACTCTCGATCAAGACAAGCGGGCCAAGGACGAAAGGCGGTCACGAGCAGAGTTGAACGATACTAACCTTCAGTCAATCGGACCAGCCAAACCCGAGATAATCACGATTTAAATAAATTTAAACACCCCCGCAAAGAGAAAATAGGGCCAATAACATGTGGGGTTTTCGGCAGACTGTATTTGAAGATGAGTTGAACCGAATGTGACACCTGAGACCTCACATTGAATGTCTCAGCGGGAAGAATCGTTTATGAGAAAATTAAGACATCCACCTGAGTTATGGTCATTTTAAAATAATTAAAACATTTAAAACGATTAAACAAAATAGAAGCAAGGCACTCAGAAACTCGAAACTGGTCTTGGTTGTGAGGAAACACAAAAGGAACCCATTCGAACCGGTCCGGAGTCTGTAAGTGCAAATGGGTTGGTGCTAGCTCGTGAAAGGAAAATTAAACTAACTCCCCCCGGGGGGGGGAACAACTGTGACGTAAATGGTCACGTACATCCCAACTATACACATAGTAGGTGATCCCAAAGTTTCATCCTTCTTTCTCTGTAATATCGTGACGTCATCAAAAGATCGAACCTCATAGAAATAACATGGGGATTCTAAGTTTAGTGATAATGCCCCCTCAGGCCCACTATGTATAATAAATGTGTTTATGTTCATCGCAATGCGTTCGTAGTAAATACATCTATAATCATATACTTGCAATTATTAATTAAATAGGCAAACTAATATTTACTCTTATGTTTTATGTACATGAAACACAATTTCAAGATTTATTTACTATTTTTTTTTTTTTTCATATTCTGTATGTATGCTTGGTTTAATAACAAAAAAATGTTCAAAAAATGCATCGGAGGAGTTCCGTTGGCGAAGGACGAACTCTCCCTACTAGTAGTGACGTCACAAATCAACATCAACGCAAAGCAAAGGTTCGCTGACGCGGGGGTACAGCTCAATGGTAGAGCATTCGACTGCAGGTTGAGAGGTCCTAGGTTAAAACCCGGGTGTCCCCTTCTTCAGGGAAGTGAAGAGAAATATTTTTCTGAGAATTTCGAAGGCGGGAATGATCTGTCCCGTTCTGCATATTTCTAAACAAAGCATTTCCGCATCCGTGACGGTGTACTCGCGCATCGTAAAAATTTACCCTCATCCTTCCCTAACGCCCAAAAAGAAGTATAACTTCAAAAATAGACAACATAATTTAAAGAAAGAAACTTGTTGCAAACTAATAATTTATTATGAGTTTTAGGGGAGCAATTACAGGGGGAATATTTACAGAATAGAAATTAGATAGGCATATTTAAAGTTATATAGATTATTCCCTCTGAAAGGACGGTTGAGATTAAATAAAACTCATTGTGCGGTGCTGTTGTAACTTACCGCCTGGCCCTGATGCGCGAAAACGTTGTTTCGTATTCAAGTGTTACTGGGCCTCTGCCAAAAAAGTTTAATGTCGGCGTTTTAATAAGCACGCTAGATGACGTTGATATGGAATGCTGTTTTAATTAAATTGCCGTCCTCTGCAAAGGGATATGATCCAATCTTTTACACATAGGATATCCTACGTGTATTACAACTCTACCTCTTCAGAATCCGAAATATTATGGACATCTTGGGATGAATGAGCTCATCATTGCAATGACGAACTGCATTTGGGTATATTCGAAAGCTCATACAACAAATTTGCTATTTCATCATCTGTTAGCTTATTTGACTGTATTTTTCTTTTGGGGCCATGGAGGTCTTGCAGAACAATCGTCTTTACAAATTAAAATATTTTCAAATCAACTAATAAAGATGTAAATTCTAATCAACATACCTTTACATTTGGATTCTAACTTTTAATCCTTGCCTATACCAGCAGACTCATCTAAAATACAATGCCAATTGAATTTCGAGTCATACGATTTCCCACGCGAATGCGTATCTGGATATGAAAGCATCGTGTCAGGCGCTTGAGCGAGATAGGAATGAAAGTTTTACAAGCTAAGTCGAGTTACATTTTTAGAGGTCTATGGTGTCCCATCTTCCTAGCCCTCAAATTTTAAATGTCACAAATGCTCATCTAGACATCTGCCTAGAGTTAACCAACTCTACTTTGTCGAAATGCGATGAACATCGCAGGGAAAATGAGTTGTTTAAGACTCCGTTTCCCTCATTATTTAAAGGCAAGTAAAATTAAAGGTTTATTCAAAATACTTGTCTTGTAGCTCTGCAGTAACTTAATTCGAACAAACACAAAACCACAGGAATAAAAAAGCATTGATGTTTACATGCTGTTGCTAGACGATATCCTCGAATGTAAAAAATCGGTTTTTGATAAGAATGAAATAGAGAGAGAGATCCAAACTATTCTCTTATAAATATATGACACTTGATGAGAAAATTTAGATCTAAAGTGGATAGGATTCTCTCACCTTCAAAATTAAGTACAAATTTTCCCGGCCAGCCTCTGAAAATACTGCTATTCAGAGTATAAACTACTGCAAATATATCTTGGTAAAAATAACATAATGTATTTTAAGGATTCATAATGAACTCGAGATGAGAAAACTAATGTAAAGTAGAAATTTATGCTTTAAGATCAATTCAAGAAAAATGAAACTCTTGATTAAACTGTAAAGTTTTTGATATATGTTATTAAAAAGTTACTTGAGAGTTGTGCTGTCTTCGTGTCATTCCCGCGCGGAGGGAAGGAATTAATGTTGCCAGAGCCTGAGACAGGTTGGACTTCTTGAACAATAGATGGCGATACCACCTATCTCCACAATTTAGGTATGAACCAGGAGGGGAGGGAAATATTCTCCAGCCCTCTGCATCCGTGATTTCTGATGCCACCGCCCACAAGACTTTCAGACCCACTGATTTAACGAGCACGTACTTCATGTGTAATCGGAGAGTATTTGGTGACATCGGGCATCAAACCCAAACCTTCCGGTCTGGAGTCCGATGCTCTAACCACTAGGCTACCCACGGCCCAACCATCATTAAGGGATCATTATTATAAATGAAAATCAAAGACTGAAAAAGAACTATAAAGAAGGTTTGTAAAGTTTAGAAGAATAATTTTTTTTTTAAATTTGCAGGATATGTAGTGGAGAAAATATACAGTATTTAGATATGAGAAAAAAAATTAATTTATGCCATTTGAAAATTTAAGCCACTTTCTTCTACATACTTTCAAAGTTAATTTGATTTATTTTTCATTCTGAGTATAAATGGAAAAAATCACTGCAGAATACGAGTTACATTATACTCCTAAAAAATATACTCAGAGTTTTAATAAGCATTTTAATTTTGACTTCCCATAGTTCTATTATAACAATGACATCAGATGGTAAAATACTTTTCATCAAAATGTTTTACCAAAAAACTTATTTTAAATGAAAGAAGGAAACCCAAATCTTTCTTTTTCGAATTGAAACAAGCCTCATTACCAATTATTTCATCAATGACTCGCGAAATTTAGTAAAAAAAAAAAAAAAAAAAAATTGTTACATTTAAAAAAAACTTATTGATGCTGACATATGTGAAGGAAAAATGTTAATAAAATAAATAAGCACAATTTTTTCTTCAAATTTTCAATGAGCATTTTTTGTCGTAGGAATTGACAAGGCAGCGATGTCTAATTAAAAGGAAAATAAGAGGCTGTCATCATTTTTATGAATAAATTATGCGCTGAACATGATTGAGAAAATATTCTTGAAAATACCTCGTTTAGAAAAGAGAAATGGCATCTAAAAGTCCTTTTTCAAAAATGCATTTGTCTTGTGCTTTTATAATAGGAGTCTAACAAATAATAAACTTTAATTTAAATATATTTTTTTTATCTAATTTGCTTATTTTTTAGTGATAAAGTGAATTTTTTTCCCTACGTACGAATTATATCTATTATGCTCAATATGATTTTCAATAATACATATTTCGTATTTTAAAAAAGTTATTTTTATTAAAAAAATAAGCTGACGGGATTATAGAGCAAGCAGTCGAAAAATAAATAATAACAAAAGAAAAAGATTTAACTGTATTACTAAATTTTATTAAGGACTGGTAAAATCTTAGATTCGCATTTTAGTATTTGTGCTTGCCCTGTCAACGAACGGTTAGGCTTAGAATGCAAGCCAGTGGAGAAATATGAAACGAAGAACATCGTTGCCAATTCTGCGAAACTGGGGTTACCAATTTGGTAAGTTATTTTGAAAGTTGACATGTGTGGTTGAGATAGAGCGTAAGTACCGAAAAATATTTGAGATGTATCGTGAAATCTTTTTTCCAGACAAGTTTTGTAACTGAAAAAGTAAATAAAATTTTTCTCGTTGTAAGCATAAGTAAATATTTTTTAATTGAATAGAACGCCACACAATATGAATTTTTTCAGTGATTCCACATTCTTTTGTTTAGTCGTTACATATTTAAATAATAAATAATTTTTTTCATGCAGATATGTAGGATTTTTTTATAGTTATCTATTAATTCTTTTCCGGCGATTCTTCGCCAAATGTTTTACGCGTTATATCGAACTCTTTAATTTTGAAACTATAAACATCCTTGTGACTAAGTTTTTTTACCAACTCACCAAAATCATTTTTTTACTACGCAATAAATACTAAAACATTCAGAAATTTCAACGTTGTGCAAAAAAATACTTTCGTTTCCCTTTGTGTTAACTAAATTTTGTGTTAACCACTGACAGCGCAGTGGCCCTGGTAGCCTAGTTGTTGTTTTCTTAGATCCATAATCGCGTTATTAATTTAGGAAGAGGTTTTCTTGAAGTTGACACCAAAAAGGCTTCTTTTGGTACGCATCTAACGTTTATTTACAAGAATAATTCATACACTAAACTACTTTCTACAAAAATCGCTATAGAATGCATTCCGCTCGCTTCACATAGCAGGCACTAGAGGGCCTAACACTAGTGACCATACTCACGGACTCGTGTCCAGCATGTAATGAGTACGAGACTTGTGCCACACACCGCGTAGGACTGATGCACGATACATCTGTCGAAGCTAAAAGTACTCAAGTAACTTGGTGTGGAAGTTTAGAGAGAGGCTTCCAGATTAGATATTGTCTTCGTCATTTGACCATGGTTCAAAATTACGAGGGACAAATTGTGTGTAGTACAGAATAAAATTAAGACAAATTAAAATGGAATTTAAAAAATTACATTAATAGTCAGATAACATTAAATTGTTAATTTATACGCGAAAGTCGATGGCGAATATTTTATAAAAATTGAATAATTTTCTGCGTTCCTGACGATCCTGCTTTGGGCAACTCATTTTAGGAAATAAATTGAAACCAATGCCAAATTTTACGTTTACACGCTTTTATACTTTTTATTTTAACCAGTCTTATTACTAAGTTTGCTCTTTCCACACTGACTAATAATTGTAATTCAATATCGTTGATACGCTAAGTTACTATTTTTTTTTACTCAAAAAGGAATTACACGCATGGTGTGTAAACCGCGTTTATAATAAATTAGTAATATTTTCCTTAAATTTGATTTTATTGCAAGCTTTTATTTTTACAGCCATCACAATAAATTTACGCTTCATTTAAAAACCATAGATGTGGTGTATTTCATCTTTAAATTTATTTATGTCTCAATTAAAACATTTGAAAATATATTAATTTAGTCAGTCTTACTCAAGTCTTATACGTTCCTTAGAAAACCAAGCAAAAAAAAAAAAACTTACATTCATGCGACG